GTTAATGCCTAATAATGCTAATTTAAAGGTCAACTTTGCTGACTATTTCTCTGCTGATAAAACAGCCTGCATCAGTCATTCTGGGACTGTTACCCTTCAAGGTTCTCCCTCCTCACCTTTCGAACTCACGCAGAGTATAGCTCTTTCCTTCCTTAGATATCACCTTTACTTCCACATTCAGTTGCTGGCTCATAAGGAGCAACATTAAAATATACAATGTATATTATACAAAGATAAGGAAATCTTAGTTGTCACCTTATACATTTTTTCATAACACTTGTACTATGGCTTTCTCCTCACTGCAAAATGACTTTTTTTCGCACAAAGGAGCACAATTGCTCTTGTGAATAGGTTGAAGTATTTACTGCAACAAGCAAGACATAGAATCATAGGATAATAGGACTGGAAGGGACCTCGAGAGGTCATCGAGTCCAGCCCCCCGCCCTCAAGGCAGGACCAAGCTCCTTCTACACCATCCCTGACAGATGTCTATCTAACCTGTTCTTAAATATCTCCAGAGAGGGAGATTCCACCACCTCTTGTGTGTTAATTTGTTTCATTATTGTGTGGTGTCTACAGCCTCTCTCCAAGTTACGAATGAGTTACGGACCAAACACTTGGCAGTAACTCGATCTGTTCGTAACTCGGATCGCATTGAGATACACGCAACCGCGCTGTTCGTAAGCATGGGTTGCATTCGTAACTCGGGGACTGCCTTTACAACTGCTCCATGGAGCTTTAGTTGTGTGAACGGTCATAACTCGACCGTTTGCAACTTGGGGAGCGGCTGTACTAAAATCCTAAGCCTAACTGGCCATTGATGATCAGTGCAATGCTGGTGGTTATACTTGGAGGATACTTGCAGAGGGTTGGTGGTCAAATAGAAAAGCTCCTGCTTTGTGTGCAAATGGTCCCACATTCAAAATCTGGCTCAGGTCTTGCATGGGGCACAGATACCCCCATGAGGATGCTACAGGAATATTTTCTTTTGTTCTGTAGTGAAAGTACGGTTGGAACAACCCAGGAAATGAGAGAATAAAGTTTGAATACAGTGATTTGCAAAGGATTTTTTAAAACGAGGCTTATATTTTTTCAGTTATTTAAGATTGTCAAAACAACTGAAATGAAGGGTATTTTAAATCTGCAATTAAAAATAGAAATGTCAGGATTGACCAGTGTAGTCTTTCCTGGCTTTGCTGGAGCCCTCTAGAGAATGTTGGAGAGGTGCATTGTCAACTTTTGTACCTTAACTGAAAGAAAAGGACATGCTCAATCTTTGCAAAGAGAGCCTTTCTCCAAGTAATTCTTATGCATTATTGTTAACAATTGAAAACAGTGTTTCAAACTCCATGAATGCCAGTGTTTTAAAGCTGACTAAAAATCACTTTCTCTCTTGATTGCTTAATTTTCACTCTCTTATCGGTTCTGCTCTAATAACATGTTCCAGCCTGGACAGAGTCTGAAATCTTTTTACAAAACTTTTCCTGCCTCCTCTATATTTCATAACAGAAACTAAAAAGGGCACCAACCTTTTTCTTTTCTTTTTTTAAATTAAGCTTTGGAACATCACTTTTATAACTCATTACTGGTTTCTGTTTCACAGTGAGATCAAAATACTGGAGTTGCTGTTAATGGGCTATCATTCGATCTGCTGGGCATAGTTATTGCAAACTTGGTTTGGAAGAGCAATAATGTACTTGAAGTTTTTCATCTTGGAGGAAAGGGAAGATAGGACTGTAGTGTGACCAGCTCTGGCAAGATGGGATTTGAGTGTGGATGTAAAATATACATCCACTGGAATCACTAATGCAGAGGCAATCTCTGATGTTGTGTTTTTCATTGCAGAGGGAGAAGAGGAAAATATGGAGTACATAGTCATTGACCAATTCCAGCAGAAATTTGGTCCTGCTGTGAGTAATAACAGTGATAACATTCCAGTTAAAACTACATTACAAAGTTAAGTTGACTTAAGTTACATCACTATCATATTTGTGGTGATGGGATGTATCCATAGACAGAGGAGTGCACCATGGCTAAATATCCTACTGTGCAACTTGCCACCACGTTGGGTTTTCTGGGAAGGGTTTGCAGTGCTTCCTGGGGCCCAGTTCACCATCCCATGATGGAGTTTTATCTGTTCCATGGATTTCTGACTGTTTTCTCTGTTCCATGTTTCGCTTTTCTCTGTTCCATGGATTTCTGACTGTTTTGTGCCGCTTTTCAACAGGCACTATAAACTGAGCGCTTCCCATCTGTATCAAAACATGGATCATACACTAATCTCCGGTACTGTGAGTGTTATGAACAGAATGCAGCTGATCATGCAGTATTTCATGAGCTGTGAATCTGATAGTTGACTCCCTATGTGTTTAATGGAAAGAAATAATTCAGAATTGCTTCTGGCATTTATGGAGCAGCTTCACATGGTGGATTGTTGATTTTGGTGCAGGAAACAAGCACAGAGTGGGGGAAGTGCATCATTATGTGAGTTTTGAGATGAGCAATGGCTGCAATGTTCAAGGCCACCTCCTAGAACTGTGTGCAGAGCTCTTTTACAGGCGTTGGTGCAAGAACACCAAAATGAGAGCTGTCCTCACACTGGAGAAGCAAGTGGTGATTGCTGTATAGAAGCTGGTAACCCTGGACTACTGCTGATCAGTGAAAAATTAGTTTGGAATAGACAAGTCCAGGATGGGTGTTGTAGTGATGCAAGAGTGCAGAGCTATTAATTACCTTCTACTACAAAGGACTGTGAGGGTACGTCTAGACTACAGGCTTTTGTCGACAGAGGCTTTGTCAACAGATACTGTTGACAAAGCTTCTGTCGACAAAGAGCGTTTAGACTGCATCCAGTTCTGTCGACAAAGCAAGCCGCCTTGTTGACATGAGAGTGTAGACGCAAAGGACAGTGTAGATGCAATAACGCCTTCTGTTGAGAGAACTCTGTCGACAAAAGGCGTTATTCCTCATAGAATGAAGTTTACCGCTGTTGACAAAACTGCTGAGTTCTGTCGACGTTATGTCTACAGAACTTGGTGGTAGTGTAAACGCAGGTATAGTTTTGTCGACAAAAGTCCACTTTTGTCGACAAAACCCTGTAGTCTAGACACACCCTGGGTGGGAAATAGGGTGGGGAAACAGTGGATGGCTTTGCAGCAATGGGATTCCTGAACTGTGGTGGAGCTATAATGGCATGCGTAACCCCATTTTGGTACCAGATCATTTTGTGACAGAGTAGATCAACAGAAAGGGCTACCTATTTATGATGGTAGAGTCTCTGGTAGGTCACAAGGTTTGTTTCACTGACATCAAGGCAGGATGCTCGGGAAAGATGCATGACACATGCATCTTCAGGAACTCTGCTCCGTATAGAAGGATGCAAGCATAGACTTTGTTTCCAGCCAAGCCCTCTACTTGCAATCGGAAGCATCAGAAGATTGCCATACCTTCTGGAATGTGTCTTTTATTCCTCCAGTTTAATTTCCTTATCTGACAGAACTGTGTGGCCAGTGTACAGGTGAAACAGTCAAGGGCACATCTGCAGAAGCTGAAGAAACAATAGAGGCACTAATGACTAAGTGCTCTCACAACCTTGATTCAAACAAGTTAAAAATACTGTTGAAGCAAACGCCTCACTTAGTTTACGCGGCTAAACAGACAGTTTTATTGGCCAATAAAAGCAAAGTGAGCCAAACGTGGTCTTAGCAAAGCCGGGCCCAGTAAGGCTGGCTAATACAATTAATTCTAGTATTTTATACCCTTAACCAAACAAGTCTGATGTTAGGGCAAGAAATTAAAGAGAACTTCAAAGAGGAATTATTATTAGCATAGAAAGAAACAGGTTAAAAGGGAGTTCGAGCTTTAGCTCAAAATAGTTTAACACATTTCAACAGCGCATCCCTTTGGTTTTTTCCCACCTCGATGAAGGCCAGTTTACTTCCTCGTGCAAACACAAAAAACTAAAATGGCTTTTGTTATACAGAATGGCTTCTAGCTAAATATAAAATAGCTTCATCAATACTATCTTCTCACTTCCCCTTTGTAGGAACCCAGTATGGTAGAAGTACCAACCACAGAGACACAAAATAAATAAGGAAATATTATTTATTCCTTGTGACGTATTTCTTCCCTTAACAGTCAATCTGTGGAACTCCTCGCTAGAGGAGCTGGTGTTATGTAACTCCTGTGGAGCTGTGGTAACCACTGTTTCTCTGAGTAAAGTGATAATGACCTCTTTGATATCCACCAGTGACTTCTTCCACAGGTGTAACATGATGCAGAAAGGTGTGCGCGCACATGTGTTAACATGCATACTGGGGTTTGTAATCTTTGTGAAGTCTATCAAAAATGGGGCTCTGCATCTAATTCTGTTTGCGATTTGTATCAATTGATGTGCAGGGGAGTCTCAATATGGGGGCCTATCAGTTGTTGTGGGGGTCAGATTAAATGGATGTATTTAATAGGAATCAAAATGAAGTGGTTTGTGTTCTGGGGAGCATCAGAATTACCGTATTTTCTGGCGTATAAGACGAATTTTGATGTTAAAAAACATCCCCCCCAAAATCGGGGGTCGTCTTATACGCCGCGTATGCGGCTTTGCAAAGCCTCGGGGGAAGCCGGCGGTGGGGCATCCCAGGCGCGCCTGAGCTGCCCCACCGCCGGCTTCCCCCAGGCTTTGCAAAGCCGCATATCCGGCGTATAAGATGACCCCCGATTTTGGGGGGATGTTTTTTAACATCAAAAGTTGTCTTATACGCCAGAATATACGGTAATATCATTGACTTCAATGGGAGATGCAGGAGGCAGAGTGGGGATCTGGGCTGGAGAGAGTGTGCAGGAGGGGGAGGCGGGCGGGGGGGCCATCCCGGGCGCGCATGGGCTGCCCCCCCTCCGGAGCCCCTCCGCTCCTGGCGGCTTTGCTCCCGGTGCCTCTGGTCTGCTGGGGACCATCTCCAGCAGACCAGGGACACCGGGAGCAAAGGAGGTGGAGGGGCGCTGGGGTATAAGACGAAACCCTATCTTTTAACTAAAAAATTAGGGGGTCTTATACGCCCAGTCGCCTTATACGCCGGAAAATACGGTACTTAGTGATGGGTGACAGTCTCTTGGTCTGTGTTTTCTGTGGTGTGTGGGGCTTTTGCAAGTTATCACTTTTTTTTTTTACATTTCTTCCCCAGTCTGCCTGGGGTTTGGACACTGCCTTTGCTGCTGCAGATTCTAAAGGAGGCCTAAATAGCTGGTGGTGAGAGGGTTCATAATTAAGTAGCTGGTGGTGATAGGGTGGCAGGTTCATAATTTAAAAACTTTATTTGGAGGAAATGATCTTGCCTCCTATGGTTACATAATATAAACAGTTATTATCTTTCGTGGCAGAAGGACCTATGAGGTATTGGGGCTCCATTGTTCTAGGTCTTGTACATACAAATAGCAAAAAGATGATCACTGCCCCAGAGAGCTAATTTAAGCATTGCTTGAAAAAGAAACTGAGAGTCTTTAACTAATGTTGGCCTTTGCTGCTTGTGCATGGCCTACGCTCTGAGATTGCTTTATAATAAGAACACTATCATGGTCCAGACCCCTTTTCCTTCAGTGCCCCAATTGTGCCTCTTTTCAGGGTTTTTTGTGACTTTTTTTTTTTAAGTACTGTAATAGATAGAACTTAACAGTGGTTAAGTACAACAGTGCTGTTGTACTGAGATTATTGATCAGAAGGACTGACATAACTGGCAGTATTGTCATTGTTTTCTTGTACCCCACCATCTATTTTTCTGAGTCCATTTTGCCTTACACTTAAATTGTAAGCCTAGCACAGTGGGCTCTTGGTCAGTGAGTGGGCTTTTAGGTGCTATTATTAGTCTCCCTGAACTTCCTATTCACCAACCACCCATGTTTTAAATCATGAAACAGGTAGAGTAGAGGGAGCAAATTTATCCATACTAATGTCCTAACAATTTTGTTTCTTGAAAGTGCCACCAGACTACTTGTTTTATCTCATCAATATGCCTTATCTCCTCTAATGGGGAAAGAGCTGTTCAGTATTCATGTCCATACATTCCTTGATTTCTCTGCTAAGACTATCAGCAAGGGCACTGATTATGGTATATATTAGGCGTATGAAGCACATCTTCCAGTAAGTGTACTGGAACCTCTCTGCATTTCTCGCAGGCCACTGAATGCCTGTCTGATGCAAACTATTTTTAGTCACTGACAACTTCGGTTGAATTTCAACCAATGATTGAAGTGAAAGATTCTCAATTTTTATGACTGCTGTCCCAAGCCATCCAATTCCTTGTGATATTCCTTTCCTTCTCGTTCTCACTAGATGCTGCACATCCAAAAACAGAGTGTTTTTAGTATGGCAGCAGAGGGTGTTAACCTATGTCGTCATGGAAGACTCTGCTGGCTTCAGGTAAGGGTCAGTTAGAAAAAAGAGAAAGTGGAACATCTTGAAAAAACACAGTTAAGAAGACATGATCTAAGAAAAAGACTTGGACTAAGTCTACTCTTAAAACAACTCCACACCCTCTCAACATAATTATACACGTACATTTTTTAACTCGTAGTGTAACAGGGCAGGTTAAAGGACTTGATAGAAGGGGAGAGAGGCAGCTCTTAAAAATAAACAGCAATGGCCCTGGCTAATCCGGGGCAGCTGAGACAGGGCTGCTATAAATCAAGGGCTAGGTGAGTTGATTCAGGCTGCCACATGACCTCTTTAAAAACCTTTCAGTGGGGGAGGATAGGGAGAGTGGAGACTGAGTTTGGAGAGTGGAGGTGGAGATGAACAAACAACTGATAAGGAGATTGAGAGAAGCTGAGGGAACAACATCAGCACTGCTAAAGGCAGCAGGGGGAGGTAAGAGGCTCCCACGGAGTGTTTGGAGGCTCCCTTCCCCCCCCAAGTGGTCAGAGGAGGACTGCTTATTCACCCCGACTGGCCCGGGGTATCTGCCCCAACACTCTGTTTTGCTGAGGAATAGAAGGCCATATGATGAAAAAGGCCAGTGAGACTTGTATTGTGGCCCCCAAACAGTGGGTTAGTGGGCAGAACAGGGGTCTGGGACCCAGGAATGGGACTGACCTTGCCACAATAGTTAGTGGTAAAAACCACAGTGTGGAAGTGACTATACTAATATAAAGTGTCATACTGGTATTTCTTTTACTTTGTTGAACCAGAATAAGCTATACCAGTGTAAGGAATTTTCTATAACTGCATCTACACTAGGAGGGTTCTGCTGCTTTAACTATGCATAGCTGAAGCAGCAAAACAATTGTGTAGACAAAGCCCATAGTTGGTAATTGATATTGAAACACAGCAGAATATGGGAAGATTAGCTTAAAAGCATCAGTCCAGAGCTGTTGACATTCATGATGGCAAGGCCTTACCTAAATTAAAAGTTGCACTTGGTTTTAACTTTAGGTTTAAACAGTTTATTTAAATGTGTCCAAAGCTTGTGGATGCTCAATTCAATTTTAAATCTGGTTTATGTAAAATAAATGTCCCCACAGGGTTTGAATGCATATAACTAAATTGGTTAAAATAACAGCTTTCGTTAAGACAAGGCAACTTTGAATATAAACATGGCTAAGTCTTGTATCAAAGTCTGATGGAAGAGGGCAGGAGACAGTGTTTTCATTTTGGTCCTTGTAGTGAAAGGGGAGTCAATGAAAGGAAAAGTTCAGGGTGACTGTTACTTGCTTTGTCTGTATCCTGTGAAGAAAGTGGGAAAATGGAAATGTGTTTTTTAATGCAAGCGTTGTGCAGAGGATGTCTCACATGTACATTCTTTCCATATCTGAAAATGCTCATTCTGTAACTGCACATAATAAGCTACTGAGTTTGATCCCATATTGCAAGTTTGTCTGAGTGTATCTGTTTGCAAACAGATACACTATCTGCAGATTAATATCCATGAAACTGTAAACCTGCTGTCTTTGATGCTTTTTGTGAACAGCATTCTTTGCAAAAGTTGTATAGTGGCAGACCCTCCCCCCTTTTTTTGATCTCTTGCCTCCCCACTTGCAAATAAATTGGGATTGGTTTATTTTAGGTAGCCACGAGGAGTCGGGTTTTTTTATTTGATGTTTTCCGTCTGGGGCCTGGAATTTTCAAAAATGGACTGCAAATAGTGCTGGAGGACAAGAAAATTTTGAAAGTAAGTGTTCAGAAAGGTGGCAGGGCATCTGTGAAATATTTGGCCATCATTAAGAAATTGCAATTGGCCGTTGAATCAACTGCCAGGTTCAAGCATCTTTCTTTTGTTCTTCAGGTCATTCATGACTGCCGTTCGATCTCAGATTGCCTCTCACACCAGTATGGAATCATTCTTTCAAACGTGTTTGATACACAGGTACTCTGCTGTCTAGTCTAGTTTATAACCAGAGAACAGTGTCCACAAGAGACAAGCTTATTGACTTTTTCTCCTTATTAGGATATAAGAGTTTGCTTAGAACGTATTAGCTATCACATTCTAGTTAACACATTCTTAAACTCCAGTACAGGCAAGGCAGGCTGTATATATGTGTAAATATATGGTAAAAGGCTTCAATTTGACCAGTCAGCACGTACCAAAGCACAGCTTGCTTGGTCTACAATGAAATTTTTTAATGTTAAGATAAGTATACTCTGATGCTCTAGAGTACTGTCACGTACTGGATAAGGGGTGTGAAAAAACAGCCCCCAACCCCAAAGAGCAGCAAGTTAAAGCTCTGTGAACAAGGCTACAGCGTTTTCAACTTGTCTGCTTAGGCTTGGTCTGCACTGGTATAACTACTCTTATTTTGGTGGGACCTAGTCTGCTCACATGCTTCTCTCCTCTCTCCACTGTCCCCTTCCGAAAGATGGATTTCTTGACTGATTCATAATCACTCCAGCTCTGTCTTGGTGAGACGTAAATTGGTTTAGTGGCAGGGCAGATTCATTCCACTCCTAGTATATCTAAATTGTTACAAACTGTCCTTCCACTGCTGTCTCAATGCACTAGTCACTGAAAAATTGATCTATTTTCCTTTCTGTACTCTATTGCACTTGAGTCACTGTGATCAGAAATCACCTAATTTTAGTTCAGGTAAACCCACATAGACCTAATTTCTGAGCCACTTTGGTAGCAAGTAAATACCACTTCTTACAAGTGTGTCTAGACTTTAGTCCACACTTCTATTGTGTTCTTTTGAAAGACAATCTAAAAAATGTAGGGTTTATTCCGAAATTGGTAAACTTCATTCTACGAGGAAGAATGCCTTTTCCGAAAGAGCTCTTTCGGAAAAAGGCGCGTGTGGACACGGAAGAGGGAGATTTTTCTGAAGGAAGAGGCCTCCAGGAAAAAGCACGGGTGCCCTCATGGCCACTCCGTCCATAATAATCACAGTTGAAATGTGAGGTAGCGTCCATTGTGTGGAATCTTTTGAAAAAGCAGGTTTCTTTATTGATGCGCTTTGGCAGTGTGGATGATCTCTTCAGAAGAAGCCTACAGTCTAGACGTACCCAGTCGCAGCTTCTCAGAGGAAAAATCAAAAGATGTATCAGTATGCCTCACTCAGCTACATGGCCCTATTGTTACTAACAGCTGTGCAGTTGTTAGGAACAATTAAATTACTTGATTAAAAAAAGAATCTGTAGTAGAGATAAGGCCCAAGTCTGACTAGCTTGGCAAAAATATTTTATTTTCCTCTTCCCTGTGAGACAGTTGTTGTAACTGCCTAATCAGGTGTTATCAGTTAAGTGATCTAGTATTTGATGCAGCCCATTTGTGCATAGTTATGGTATCTTTTAAGCTGCTTTTGTAATGCTATAGATTTACTATTATGCTACAATACTTAAGATGATAGTTTTTGTTTATAAACTTGTTTCACCATGTTTTTCCTCCTTTTGTGTCAGTAATTTAAACAACTATTTTAGCGAGAGAGGAAGAAATTTAACAGGAACTCCCCCTAAACGTATAACTAACATTTTAAAGTGAATGACATTTCAAGGGGAGTGGGCAGAAAACTGTTAGCTGTGAGATTGTACACAACCAAAATAAGTTTGCTGCCATCAAATTAATTCTTATCTTGAGGATGTGCAAAGTGTGGCCTGGGCTAGACAGTGATGATGGAGCCTTTTTTGTGCCCTAAGCAACATTTGAAGGTATGGGCATGATTCCAGTTTGAACATTTTATCTTTAATTTAAACATCTATGTTCTTTGCTTTTTGGACCAAAGATGCTGGTCATCCTATACTGACCATTCTCTTCACAGGTTGCTGATGTCCTGCATTTCTTCAATGTAACAGGTGGGTTCCTTCCACATCGCATCAGTTCCCTTCAGGAGTGCTTGATGCGACATCTCAAGATGTCCCCCCAAAAGGTGTCCTTCCTGGAGTGCAGGCAGCAGGCTATTCAAGTAAGTGGCTCAGTTCAATACCAGTCATAATCTCTAAGGACACAATCAGGAACTGTACATTGCCCCTTTCAAATGTTTGCCTATTGTGATTGTCAGTTGGGAAAGGAGCATGATAATAGGAAACACAGATTATTTAATGCAGTTTGGGATTGTAAAAGGAGCATGATAATAGGAAACACAGATTTTTTTAATGCAGTTTGGGATTGTGAGGGAGTCTGAGTCTATTCAATATTATACAGGCAATCCACTTCAGTATTATACAAACCACTTAGGGAGCACAAATTTATAATATTAGCTGGTTAGGAAGAAGGTTCAAGCTTCACTTGCCATCAGTGCCCATGACTGTATATTCTAAAAGGTCACTTTAAAATATAATTTATGGGCAAAAAAAATCTACAAACCGTGAAGAAACATGGGGGTCTTAAATAATGTAGGGTATATTTAGATTGGAATAGTTAAACTGTGCATAGACAAGGCCTTAGAGCAGCAGTGAGCAATAACTGGCCCG